AACCCTAAATAATTTACACATTGTTCATTTTTTATTTTTTGTAATATTGCTTAAAACGGTTTTTTGAAAAATTTTCTTTCAATTTACAAGTCTAAATTTTTATTCTGTAATGCAAGAATTTTTTATTTTTTACAAGCCAAGATATATAAATTGTATAACTTGGAAATCTATCAGGTTAGTGGCTGTTTCACTGTCGGGGTTTAAGTGGCCCAAATTTTTATAACTTTTAAAACATGCAAAAAATGAAAAAAATTCCCAAAGAAATTTTACATTATTTTACAATTTAATCGAGGGGAAAAAACATGAAAATTTTTAAATTTTTATGATATGATTAAATTATTATCCTTAACTCTAAACAAGTGTGACCATTGCAAGCTAGATCGGTCAGCACATCTTTGCCGTCTGATCACTTTCTGCAATGTTTAATATTCCGTCAGAAAATGTTCTTTAAACAATAAATGGTTAAGTCCAGATTAAATAATTGTCAACTCCAATGAGGCCCGAAAGCGTAAAACATAACATTTAAATTTCTTACATACATCGGCTGGGACACTTAACACAAGAAAGATATGCAAAAGATAATTAAAAACTATGCTGTAAATAAACTGTGTGAGCAAAATTTAATAATCCAATAATATTTTGTATACAAGTTATTAGTCTAGACCTAAATCAAATCAAAAAATATTTTTAGTCCAGTCAAATCAATAAACTTCAGTGGGGTCCCTTTAAGCTTGGAAAGGGTTTCAAATTTGCACCCAATAACATTATCTAAATAACAATAATGTTAATTAGTTAAATGCCCTATTGTACTTAATGAAATATAAATCTTAAAATCTGGACTAATTTAACTTATCCTTGTTTAGAAGCTTATAGGTGAAGGTAAATTAAACATTTTAAATCATTTTATTTAATGCTACATAAACTTATGTCAATAAATATTAATTGAGGAACAATCAAAGAATTAAAGAATTAATATTATAGCTAATCTGTAATGCATTAACTTAAATCACATTTAATTTCAAATATGATATAATAATTCTATAGTACTATGAAATACTGAAAAGAATCGCATTTGTTGTTGTTTTTCACCTTATACTGAAAATCGTAACCTCAGATAAATTTAATTAATAAAAAAACAAAAAAACTCAAACTTAAAACTGCATGTATGCAGACCAGGCCTGGCTCTTAACTGGCAGTCAAGACTTACCGAGTCACTTTCAGTTGAGACTGAAGGTGTGAGAATTAAGACTGCTCTGTTATACTTTTTGCGAAAGTCACCTAATGACCTTACCAAACCCGATGTTACATAAAAAACCTTCATCAAAATAAAAACCAAATCCGTATAAAAGTAAAATTTTATACTGCAATTAGCCAAGTTAAAGAATAAACCATATCAAATTATACATAAAGGATCGCCTCAAATTAAGGTGGGTGGGATAGAATGGGGTAGACAAATATATGTCATATGATACCATAACGAACAAAATTACGATATTTAAATCGCCACTATTGACAGTAAAGATTTAATTCTTGCAATCATGCTTAATTGTTGTCATCAGGTACGAAACTTATTATCAGGTACGTTTAAATGTTTAAATCACTGTTTTGAAATCAAAACTTTTAACAAAAAACTTTATATCGGGACTGCAGATATATCGGTAATAATTTGTGGGTCGTATTTCCGTTAATGCTTGATTGTAAGATCTAATGTATGATTACGGTTTGTGGAATTAAAGCTTGGTTTAATATTATATCCGAGTTACTTATTTTTTTTTTATTTTCCAACAAAAACATGGTTACCTCCCTTCCATGCTTATAGCTGGGATAAAGACACCTTTAGAATAAAGGCTGTTAAATGAACAATTTGACTCTAGCAGGCTAACCAGGTAATATCAATCTATACTGTGGACTTCCTAATATCAATCATTTATATCAAAATAACCTTAAACTTTGCATAGGAAGTAAGACAAATTTAGTGGTTAATAAAAAATTAAAAATGTCAGATAAAATTTTTGGCAAAGCTTTGCTTTTTTTAATCTTTTTTTTGATAGTTTTTGTTATTTTTTTTGAGGGGTCATAGGGGTGACACACGTAATAAAAGTAAGTCACAGGTTAAATAATTAAAATCATAAAAAAAAAATAGAATTACTTAATTTTATCAAAGGCTTGGGATAAAAAACCTGAAAACAGGATTTTTAAAAAGGGAATTTCCTTGTACTCAGCTTATTTTTAAAACAAAACCATAAAAGGGTTTAAAAAAAGGTTAAAAGGTTTTCTACTCAGGTGTCCATTGCAATGCCTTTATCAGGACATTTGGAAGCACATTTTATTAGAATTATACCCGGTACATAAGTACATCAGCTTAATACTTAAACCTTAATGATAAAGAAACATAATTATGATCTTAACAGTGTTGGTGTACTCTCCCTTCCCCATCCACTATCCTAAACCAGACCCCAAAAAAGAAAACAAATCAAATGCCTTTGTCAAGCTTTTAAAGTTAACTTCTGCATATTCGTGAAGCTTTCAACATGATTATAAAGAATTTGTTGATATAAGCAAGAGAAAAAGGCATTTTCATACTTATAAAGTACGACAATTTTATGGATTTCGGAGCCAATATATGCGTAAAAAATGTACAATATCAAGACCACGTTATTAGCCTTGTGACCCATATTGATGATCATTTCAGATGATTTAACATTTTGAATGTCAGTGTAAGAGTATTGAACTTCTAGCGGACAACGATGAAAAGAAGCGAATAAAAGATCAGCTAGTAAGGTGTAAAAACTCATTGAACCAAAATAAAACATCTTTATCCGGCATAACAAAAAGTTTGTCGGTTGACGGAGATTGCAATTTAAGATGAAAATTATTGGTTTTTGTCGCAATGTTAAGAATTTTTGGGGTTGATAAAACAATGTTAAGGTGGTTTGGCACGCTTCAGATAATTGCGATATAATCACAAGGTGACGATGTCAACCATTTATGTTGTCTTACTCATTGTCAAGCAGAAAAAAATGTCACCACTTGTGAACAAATGTATTTTAAAAAGGTCTATAACTATTAAAACCCCCACTGAATTTAAGTAATGGACATCATGTAGTCCTGCTTTGAGTTTGGAATTGCCCATTAACGTAATGCAGGATTTTTGTTAGGATATCCGATGCTTTACTCGTTGATCAGTATCATAGTCTTAATGATATAGGGATGTATGTATTGTACTTATTCTAGGCTAAATGAAGGCCCATCTGCTCTTTCAGGCACTGAGAGTACGGACTCCGGACATTTCACCATTCATGTCCTTAAAATAGGGAAAGTTTGTATAACTTTTTAGTCATGCTTACACTTTAAAAGTAATAATTATGGCAACATTCCAGCTTTACTGGTGGAAGTACACCTCTGGTTCCCCTTTGTGCATTATTTCATGCAGGCACGAGCGGGCACCTGAGCATAACAACCACTGGATAAGGAAAGGATTGGCTAATCGGATCTATGCTTTTGGCATTGGCCTATCATTATGTGACAGTTATTGCACACAAAGGTGGTCATTATAAATCATACTGCACTGAGGCCTTTCTCTTAACAAATTTGCCGACTTTGCACAAAATGAACAAAAAAACAAAACAAAAAAAACCCAAACAAAATGCACCTAAATGCATTTAAGCAGTGAATGCACATTTTTCAAGTCAATTGAGTTCTATTATTATTTTACCTTACTAGGTTCAGTCACAGACGATAATTGTAGGGATATAATTATTTCAAGAAATCAGAGCCGAGCCAATGAGCATAATTTTAATTGTAAAGAATTAAAATTTGAAATCATGCAAATAGTTCTCAAATATTTTTTTTGTTCACGATTTCTTTTTTCTTTTCTATTCAAAGAGGGGCCAAAAACAGCTGTAGGGTAGGTTAAATGTTTTTTATTTTAAATAAAACTATCCTCTCATTGCTTTTTTCTATATAGAAGTTTTTTAATTTCTAAAATAAAGATTTAAGAATATGAATAAAAAAATAAAAAATGCAAGAAGGCCTAAGATAGGGCCTTTCAGTTTTAAAAAAAAATAAATTTTGATGAAATTTTAAAAATTAAACCCCATACAAAGAGGTTTCAAAAAAAAGTGAATTTTGTTTAACTCTCCCAAAACAAGGGGATTGAAAAATTTTTACTTTATTCCGAATTTGTAATTACGAGTAGATTTTAAAAGAACGCAATGCAGGACAAGAAGAAAAATGTTCCCTTCACATTGGATTTAGAAGCTACATGTCTTGCAGGATGAGTGACTCAAAAAATATATTTTGATGCCTGAAAATTGAACAAAAAATCTAATTTTGTCCGAAGATTAACCCTTATTACACGTAAATGGACTTGTCCATCTTTCAATCTAAATGTTTTTAATAACTTATATGCTATAATAATACTTTCTTCCCCCTTATGGCTGAGGGGTTGCCGTAAAGGGTTGAGGCATCAGAATTGCAGGGCGTGATTGTAAGAGGTGACTAAATGGGTTCGAATTCCTTGAGTCAATGCATCTCTAAGCTCCAGCAGGTGAGGTGGTATTGAAGGCACATTAAAGAAATGTCAAACATGCATTAAATAGTGTTTCAATAATGGATTTAGAGCATGTCAGATGTTTCAGCTTAAGAATGTAGAAAATGACTGTGATAAGGGTTTCATAAAACAGTAAAAATGTAGTTTTTTTAAACTTTTGCAAAATTATAATACACTATAAATTTTTTAAAATTTTCCAAAAGAATTTTTGATAGTATGTAAATGGGAAATGGTTATTACTTTGAAAACTGTAACAAGATACCAAAATTTAAAGTTTTTGAGAAATAAACTGATAGCATTTCTGAGGCATAATGGGCCTTTAAGTTTGTAACACAAAACCTTATAAGCTAAAATCATCTTTCCTGTTTTTGCGCAATATGATATAAATTTTGTTGGTGCACCGTAAAACCAAATAAAGAATACACAAAACAATAATACTTTCTTTTACCTTCAATTCTCTGCTAGCTGAGGAGCCTCCGATTTTCTGCATTGAGGAAATTGTGGGGCGTGTAACCGGACTGACCATACCGGATCGTTGTACGGGCCTGGGTGCTGACATTGTCCGGTTCACTGCGGATACCCTTTGAGTCGGTGGTGCAGGCCTTTCTGTACGTCTCATTTTGTCTTAATTTTATGTCAGACATGCGGGAGATAATCCGGCTGATTGATTGAATCCGTTTTCGAAAATAAACACTTTTGCCATGGTAACTGAATACTTTTCTTTTCAAAAACACTTAAATCCGAAAATTTGCTTTGGCCATGAATAGAAGGTCTCAACTTGATCTACCAACTGAAAAATAAAATGAACAAATTTTACTTCCAATTTATCTATAAGATGATCAAATTAAATCTTTGCTCAATCAAATAATATTCATGGTATTTAAGTTTGCAATAAATCACACAAAAGATTTATTTAATTAATTACTTAAATCAATCAATATTGATAGTAAAAGTGTGCAATAAATGACACAAAAAATGCATTTTATTAATATAATCAACTAATATTTCTAATAAAGTGTGCAATACATCACACAAAAAATGCACTTAATTAATTATCAATTAATAGTTCTTAAGTAAAGTTGTGCAATAATTTTCACCATCAAATGAACTTAACTAATAATCAATTAAAAATGATATTCCAGGTATGAATGTGTGCAATAAATCAAACCAGAAAATGCCCTTGATTAGATAACCAGTTAATATTTCTTGTAAATTTTTTCAATAAATCACATCAAAAATGCATTTACAGACTGTTACAGTTAATACTTTTTTTTAATATTTCTGGTAAAGGTGTGCAATATATCATGCCAAAAATACATATATACATGTATGGTATTGCAATGTTTATATCTAAATAATATAAAAATATTGGGAAGTATACAATCATGTACACTGCAAAACATTAAAATTAATATTCAAAAGAAAAAAAAACTAAAGACAAAAAAACAAACCAAAAAATATCAAGGTAATTTAAAATTTCTTAAACTTAATTCATCAGCTGCTGTAGCAAAAAATGTTTTCCGGCTGACTCTATTTTTTATTAATTCTTTAATTTCTTCTAACATTTAAATGATTTTAAAATAATACAAAAATAAAAAACTAAATTTTAAATTATCAGTCCATTGTTACTGAATTTTTAAAAAGTTTTATGCAAATGTAATTATTTAATGGTTGAATAAATGCAGTTATCAAAAAATGCAGTTATCAAAAAATATTTATATTTATTTATAAATAAATTGTATAACAATTTTTATTGCAATGCAGTGTTTTCAATTTTCAATAGTTAATGGAAATATCAAAAATTATATTATTAATTTTTTCTCTTAAATACATGTATTATACCTAGTATGTATATATTTCTAAATTTCCGGTCAACGTACACTATTTAACATCCACACAGAAGAAACCAAAAGTAATCCAGTGGATAAATATTTGTTTTCACCCTTAAATATTCCGACACCTTTTGATGACAGCGTTGTGTATCATTGAAGTAAATCCTTATAAATCCCTACGCCAACAAAAGAGTCCCTAAATAGCTTTATAGCCTATTACATAATTTATAATCTCAGCGAAAAACTTTCACAATTATGACTTATCATTATGATTACGAAGGTGTACAAACACGAGGATTTCACATCTATATGTGCAAGCTTAATTTGAATAAACATTTATATCAACACAATTATTTCAGTGAATGAATCAGTGTACCAGTATATCCTATATAGATATATTATCTGCGACAACAAAAAGCTGACCGATAATTCAAATCAAAAGTTTGTGATGTTTCGATATTAAAGTAGTAGATAAAAAAGAAAAAGATTAAAAGATTTTTGATGATGATTAAGTGGAGGAGGTAAAGAGGATGATGATGATGATGATGATGTATGTAATGATGATGATGATGATGATGATGATAATATTGATGACTTTACTAACTGAACAATTTAAAAAAGTTTCTTCACAACCATGAAATTACTATGTTTGATTTTAATATGAGAAAAAAAATCAGAAATAGGCTCACTTTCTAAAAATATTACACCTAAGACCTTTTATTACATTAAAACATTTATCATATTCTGTCAGAGAAAGAAATTCAATAATGATCATGGTAAAGAAGGTAATGATGACGGTGGTATTGATGATGATGAAGATGATGATGATGATGAAGATGATGATGAAGATGATGAAGATGATGATTACGTTTATGATGATCAGGTAACAAAGAGGAGAAATGGAAGAAGTCAAGAAGAAGAATAAGTAGAAGAAGAAACAAAGAAGAAAATAAAGAAGAAAAAGGAAAGAAGAAAAAAGAAGAAAAAAGAGAAGACAAAAAGGAAAAGAAAACAAAGAACAAAAGAAGAAGAAGTAGGAAAGAAGAAGAAGAAGTAGATCTTTTTTGCATATAAGTGACAATTAAAAACAAATAAAGAAGTTTACTATTGTTAAGTTTTACCTTTTATGTCAGACCTTTTTACAAGGAATCTATCCTTTCCACCCATGTATAATTATAAGCTATAAGCACCAATAGAGAAAGTTATTCTACCAACTGCAATGTCAATAATACTTAAAGCAAAACTTAAAGCGAACTAACTGATTACAAGTACTTATTTCTCAATCATCTCCACTGTATAATAATGTTATAAAAATATTCACAATAAGTGTAAATCATCATGTAGTACCCTTGAATAAACCAACAAGTTATCAAAACCCTTTTGAATGAAACGTTGACGGGCTCAAACTGTGCGGGATTTACAGATGTGTGACGTTTATAAAGTGTTGCTAATTTTCAGTAAAATGTTGATGTTAATTCTCACTAGGTTTCTAGGCATCTTTACAAATACCAGCACACCTTTTCTGTAAATATGTGCTCATTTACCTAATTTGGTCAGTAGGGTTCCTAATTTATGCTCTTTGAGGTAATCTTTGGTTGTGTGAACTTCATTATGTGCAAATAACAGGTACAATCTGAGAATTATTCTAGCTTAAAGTAATGCGAAAATGAGCAAATCTTGTACACTTTCCTCCAGTTTGATTTTATCATTTGGTATGGAAGCCCATTACTGTCAAATTTAAGAAAACATCAAGATCTTTTATTACATTTGTATTTTGCATACAAATAAAGGCTTTATCTTTTTTTAATTCAATTCAATCAACCAAAGCTGTGTTGATAGAGACAGATAATTTTTCAGACAGTACGAAGACCTACCTGGAAGCCTTATTAGTCCATCAAAAAAATCAAAATTACTCTTTTTACAACAAGTGATTTTGAATGCAATATTTTTCATATGAACTTTTGATTATATCTTGTTGATTTTAAAAAATTGTTTAATTCATTCAAATGACAAGACATGGCGTTTTAAGTTGACAAAATTGAAGCGAAAATTTGTCATATTCAATGACTCGGTCTCCATTTTGATAAAGCCACAAAGAAAATGTTGAAATCATTAAAGTAATATGAAGGTTAGATTAAAGAAACTTGACCAGACTTGTGTGGTAAAATCTTTTTATTCTCTATTTCACAAATAAATAAAAATAAGTCCTAAAAATTATTTTTAAATGTTTTCCTGTTTCGAAGGTCTTGTGATATCATGAATTTGTTTTGTAGGGGGGAGCTTAAAGATTTATAGATCATGGTTCAATCCTTGACATGGCAACATCAAAGGGTATTATTATTATCAGACCCTAAAGCATTCAGAGAAAAAAGTCCCTGACCAGGTTAACTCATGTTTGGTATAATTATTTTTTTTAATATTGGTTTTACACATCGCATTAACACAGTTTAGGTCATATGGTGACTTTCTAGATTTACTGGAGGAGGAAGACCTCAGGTGCCCCTCCATGCATTATTTCAGGCACAAACTGGCACCTGAGCAGACCATTGTTGGATAGCTTCCTTACATCAAAGAATCCAAAGTCCCTGTCAGGATTCGAACCCATGGCGGCGAGGGGGTTGGTACCTGAATAGAACTACCCGCGTTTCGTAAGCTAGCTGGATAACTTCCTTACATGAAAGAATCCAAAGACTTTGTTAGGATTCAAACCCACAGTGGTCACACTGGGTTGGTATAATGAAACAGGAGGGATTATCACATCATAATTCAAGTTAAACTTCATCCTATCCTTATTAACTTCAAAAAGATGGACTTGTACTCCTTTGAACTTGGAAATGAGTAAATTTTAGTATTTTCAAAATATTTCAAGCTAAAATTTCAGAGTTTTGTGAAACGGCTGATTAAATATTTTCAATAATTAAATACCTTTGAGACAAAGATTATTTCTTTCTGTTTTCAAAGACACTAAATTCATCCTTTTTTATACATTTTTTAACTAAAACTTTCTTAAATTGTATGATACTTTTTATACATATATATTAAAATTTTCCTTTTAAACTATAGGCAAGATACTTTAAAAATAATATTTTAAAACCTCCCCAGTGGTATAAAGTCATTCTTTAAAACTACATATGTAACTTACTCAATTGTGGGCTTGTAGCTTTAAAGATAATATAATAAGTAGAAAGCCCCCCACGGCACCTGTATGAAGTAGGTAGAAGTAGGTATAATATCATGTCTATTCGTACCTGATCCCACTTACTGTATAAGAATCATTGTAACAAAAACATTTCTGTAACCATTGACCTTATTGTACACAACTCTTGATAAAGTTAAAAACCTTTTATTGTATAACTCTGACTTGCTTCTTTCTTATTTTTAAAAAATCAAGTACTTGAAAAGTCACAGTTGTTGGTCTTAAGCAAAATGTTCTATATTTGCCAAAATAAACCTACAAAAAACCCTAAAATAGTAGCCAATTTAATAATCCTTATTAACCAGTGTTGGAAACAAGAGATTAGCCTTTGCAACCGGTATAAAACCAGGCCAGCCTGCATGTTCATGGTTTCTGACTGCAGGTTCCATACTGTGGACAAACTTTTTACAAAAAAATGATAAAAGACAGTCCCCAAATATCCAAAAATTGATAATGACTAGTCCCCAAAGATCACAAAAATTGATAATGGCCAGTCCCCCTACATACCCAAAACTGATAATGGCCAGTGAGAAAATATCCCTAAACTTGATAATGGCCAGTCCCCAAAGATCCCAAAAATTAATAATGCTCAGTCCCCAAAGATCAAAAAAATTGATAAAATTGAAACAGGGCAAGGAATTCAGCATTTGGAGGGTAAAAATGCTTTGTAGTCAAGGTCTTTTACCACATGGCCATGAAATAAATCCCTTTTTACATTGGTGGTGATACACTTGGGTTAAACAAAATATGCATAAAAGTTCCTCGGT